TGGCAACAATTTTATGTGTTATATCTGCAGTAGTTTTAAGTGAGGACACAGTTCACAATGCCGCTCAGCTACTTGAGTAACATTCGCCAAGAGCGAGACGAATCGATAACCTCGTATTTGACGACGTTCCAAAATGAGTAGGCAAATGTCGCTGATACCCTCGAAGAATCCATTTGGACTCCCCTGATCGCAAGGATCAGGCCTAACATAGAGCTGTGGAAAGAGCTCTAAAGCGAAGACCATGTGAGCCTGGCTAAATTCTACCAGATAGCCGCAAAATATCAACGAGTAGAAAGCTCATTAGTGGCACTAGCCAGAAGCTCGACACGAGGGACCTCGGACAAGAGACAAGATCGCCCCTCGGATAAGCGTGGGGGCCAACACTACAGCGACAGGGATCATAACAGATTCCCAAAGAAACAAAGAGTAGATAACCATAGAGACACGCAACGTTTCCCGCGGTATGCAAAGTACACCCCCTTACACAAGACATCGCCCACATATTTGAGGTATCCCGAGAGGCGAAGAGGCTACCTGCTTCGGAAAGAATGAGGGGGGCCCCAAGAAGAAGAGATCGGCAAAAATATTGCCTGTATCATGGGGATGTTGGACATAATACGAATAAATGTCACACTCTGAAGGATACCATCGAGGACCAGATAAGAAGAGGTCATTTAAAAGAATTTGTTAAGGCAGAACCACCTCGAGAGAATCCTGGCGAGCGAAGTAACTCGGTCCCAAGCCAGACACAAACCCCAAGTCAACAGGTCCAACCAAACCCCAACGAGGTCTTTGTGAATATAATCTACAGAGGACCAGATATAGCGGGAAACTTGAGGTGAGCCCATGAGCAATACACTCGAGAGGCCAGAACGAGCTCGGTCCCTCAAATAATTAGTTGCAAACAGAAGCCACCTAAGTGTCCCAAACAAGAAAGTGAGGTAGTGGGGTTCATAGTTGATGAGTGCAAAACTTCCCCTTGTCACAATCATGACGCAATTGTAATGGAAGAAGGATTGGCAACACAAGAGTATTAAGGGTTATGGTCGACAATGGGAGCGCGACAAAAATTATTTTCTTGGGAGGCTTCCGAGGAATGGGATTCACAGAAAGGAATCTACAAGCGTGCCCTTCGCCGCTCTATGGGTTCAGCGGGGGCAGCCTGGTTCCCAGAGGTACTATCGACCTCCTTGTAATTTTAGGGGCTGAACCAAAGGTCAGAATTGTGATGGTTGAATTCTTGGTAGTGGATTGCCCGACCACATATAACGTCGATGATCCAAGCGTGGTCACGTCAATGCGCTGTCAAGCAATGAGATTTCTTACTCCTAAGGGAGTCGCGCCAGTCAAGAGCTGCACCAAAGAATCACAGGAATGTAATAATCGGGCCATGAACGCCGCACAGAGATGTTCGCACCCAAAAACCATGATCATAGCAGAATTAACCCCATACCACTAGAAAACTCCATAGATTCTCGTAGTCACAAAGAGGAGTTAGCTACGGAACCAACCAAGGAGTTGATAGGAGTAAGCATTAGCGAGGAGGATCCAACTCATATACTGAAGATCAGCAACGGCTTGAGCAGAATGATGGCCGATAATCTGGTCGAGTTCTTGAAAAAGAACCTCGAAGTATTCGTGTGGGTGCATGCTGATATGGTTAGAATCAGCCCCAAAGTGATATGCCACAAGTTAAACCTCGACTTAGAGGCTCAGCCCATAAGATAGAAAAGAAGGGTCATGGATGCAGAGCGCTCTAAAGAGCTCAAAAATGAAGTCGACAAACTCCTAGAAATCAACTTCATCAAGGAAGTCAGGTACCCGGACTGGCTTGCCAATCCGATCTTAGTGAAGAAGCCGACTAGCAAGTGGGAGACCTGCGTCGACTTCACGGATCTAAACAAAGTCTATCCGAAAGACAGCCTTCCGCTACCTCGAATCAATCAGCTTGTAGATGCGACGACAAGAAACGCACTACTTAGCTTTATAGATGCGTACTATGGATATAACCAAATCTCGATGTATGAGCCCGAAGAAGAGCATACTTCATTTATTATTGACTATGAAATTTATTGTTACAAGGTTATGCCATTTGGCCTTAAGAACACTGGCGCGACCTACCAGCTCTTGGTGAACAAGACGTTCGTTAATCAAATCGATCATTCCATGGAAGTATACATCGATGCTATGCTCGTCAAATCAAAGGTCATCGAAAGTCATATTGAGCACCTAGGGGAAATGTTCAACATCCTCAGAAAGTATCAAATGAAGCTCAATCCACTGAAATGTGCTTTCAGAGTGAGCTTTGGAAAATTCTTGGGTTTCCTCGTAAACCAACAGGGTATAGAAGCTCACCCGAAGAAGATTCAAGCTTTGCTCGACATGAAAATCCCGACTAGCATTAAATAGGTAAAGAGTCTGACTAGACATGTGGCCACACTCAGCAGGTCTGTTTCCCAAGCCACGGACAGGTGTTTACCATTATTTGAGACCTTGAAGGGGAAGAAATGTTTCAGATGGATAGAAGAGTGTGAGATAGCCTTCCATGAGCTAATAGAATACCTCGACAGCCCCCCTTGTTGTCAAAGCCCGTCCAGGGCGAGCCACTACTATTGTATCTATCGGCATCCAAATCTGCTGTCAGTGCAGCATTGGTACGCGAAGCGGGAGGAATACAATGACCTATGTACTATGTGAGCAAGAGATTGCTCGACACGGAGACAAGAAACCTAGAGATGGAAAAGCCTCCCTATGCCCTTGTTGTTGTTGTTAGGAAGTTGAGACCCTATTTCTAGGCACACTCCATCCATGTGCTGACGAACTTCCCTTTAAACAAAATAATGCAGAAGCCCGAGGCATTGGGGAGATTGATCAAGTGGACAATGGAGATGAGCCAGCACGACATTAAGCACATTCTGAGGACGTCGATCAAAGGCCAAGCCGTGGCGGACTTTATATATGAGTTTTCTTATCAGCCAGACACCAAGCCAAGCCCACCAGGGATAGATACCTCGGAAGAGATTGAGCAACAAAAACCTAAGAGTGACAGCTTATGGCTATGGATTATGTATATAGATGGCTCCTTGAATGAGAAGGGAGTAGAAGCACGCCTCTTGCTCGAAAGTCAGAAGGGAAATCCAATTAGGGCCGTAGTAAGGTTTGATTTTAACGCCTCTAAACGAAGCTGAATATGAGGCATTGCTAGTAAGTCTTCATCTCGCCAGAGAGATGGGGGCAGAGTCCATCAAGATCTATAGTGACTCGTAGCTCGTCGTTCATTAAGTTACTAGGGAGTACGAGGCAAAGGAAGACAGGATGGCATCCTATCTCCAGCAAGTGGAGACTGAGATCGAACGGTTTAGATCCTTTACCATCCACCAGATCCCAAGGGAAAAAAACTTGCAAGCAGATGCATTAGCTCGCCTGGCCTATGCAATGAGCAATGAGAAGGCCAACTCAATCCCTGTTAAATTCATCTCGAAATCAAGCATCTCCACTTCACAAGATCCGATGTTAGCCACAAGTCAAAGGTATAGCTGGATGGATGCAATCATCGCCTAAGGATAGCACACTGCCAAAGGACACCTACTCAAAGTCAATATTCTGTTACTACTCAAAGCCGATTCTAACCGATTTCGACAGCGAAAATTCTCTCCATCACTGCCATTTGAACCTCTAGCATCATCTCTACGAAACCCCTCTCACTCTATCACTTGATTTCTCGTCGATTGTCAACCACCACAACGCTAAGTATTCTTGTTCTTAATTGATTTTTAGCTAATTCTAACAGCGAATATTCAATCGATTACTACTATTTGATCCACAGGCCTCCACTCTACAAAACCCTTATTATCTTTGACTCTTGATAACTCGTCGAATGTTGATTAAGAAAGTGAAATGTGTTTTAAATAATAACAAAATATGAACTTTAGATGAAAAAGTGATATTCAAGGAAACCTTGTGTGAGAAAAGGTCGTTTACTCCAAATAAAATTACTAAAATTAATTTCACCATATTGTTACTCATATAGTCATATTTACTTATACACCATTCATTGAAGTCGTGTCATTGAAGACACACGACTTCAGTGTTAAAATATTTTATAAATTACTTTTTCCCACCAATTATCTTAATAACACTTTATAAGAAAAAAAAAAAAAAGTTTCAAAATACTACTTTTCAATCTAAAATAAATATTTTATTATTATCGAAAACCGATTCTGTAAATATTTTATTATTATCAAAAACCGATTTCAATAATAAAAATTCTCCCCATTACTATCTCTGATCACGTCTCTATAAAACTCCGCTCACTTCAACATCTAATTTTTTACCGATTATGCATGCTGTAAAACTAAAATTTCTTGTCCTTAATTAATTTTTTAACTGATTAACTAAATTTTTTTGTTTTAAATTAATTTTTTAACTGATTTCAAGAATAAATATTCACCATCTCAACCCTTTAAAACCCCTCTTAATTCCTAATAATTCGCCAAATGTCTGAAAAGGAAATTGTATTTTGAATATTTAACATAATATAAACTTTTAGTAACAAAATGTTATCAGACATTAAAGCGATCCTTGGGTGGGAAAAACCGTTTACTTCATTTAATTTAATATAACATTTGATAAATAGATGCATTATCACTTATTCCAACAAATCAAATCATGCTATGAAATGATCCACCAAGCCCACTACCCTACTCTACGTGGCCCATATTGACTCCAGTGATGAGAAATTAAATATCAGTGGGGATATTAACTAAAAGGGGTCCACCCAAGGAAATGCCTGTAAGGTTAAATTAAATTTAACAATTACGATAGCAAAGTTTATTACGTATTAAACTCAAAAGTTGTATATTACAGAGTAGATTAGATTTCCCAAACTGCCCCTCATGCCAATTTTCTTCCCACCCACACCAAATCCCCAACTCTCCTCCCAGTCCCACTCCCAAAGCCGAACCACCAAGTTGCAGCTTACACAGACTTACCATGGTGAATCTTTCAAAACCACATAATCACACATGTAGACGACATGTAATCTTACATTATTAACCACGAAACTTACAGGCAACTCCTACATGCACATATCCAACTAGTTTATACATTTTATATTAGTAAGCTGCAACTTTGTTGTTGTTGTTCTTGTTCTCTAAGCAGCAGCCATTTTCCTGGCCTTCCTCACAACTGGAGTCCTTATGGACTTCAGTTGCTTCGGTTTGGCCGGAGAATACACCTTGCTCTTTTTCATGGAAGCCTTCACTGGAACCTCTGCTTTTTTCACAGCAGCTGTAGCAGATCTTGTCTTCTCCATGATGATGATCGGTACTTTCTCCTTCACACGAATCTTCTCCTTCGGGACTACTCCTTCAGCTAGCATGTAAGACGCCCTGATCTTGATAAGCTTTCCCTTAGCGGCAGAGTTCTTCAACTGCACACCAAGCATCTTCTTGAAATTCGCAGGAAGAACCGACTTGTGCTTCTCTTCTATGTACTTTGCTATGGCGCGGGGACTCGAACCACTCTTATCCTTCAGAGCCAAAAGAGCTTCCTTTATCATCTGTACAGTTAATAAATACCAAAACCGGTTAAATCTTACACAAAATAAGTCATATTAAGATGACGATCTATAAGATTAACAAGCCAAAAAAAAAAAAAACCTCAAAGTAAGGAGGATGAGAAACAGCTTTTGGCTTCTTCTCCTTTGGAGGCTTGGGCTTCTTCTCTTTTGGAGGATTAGGCTTCTCTTTCGTAGGCCTAGGCCTCCTCTCTCGGGTAGCCATCTTCTCCAGCGGTTTAACTTCGGCTTCGGCTTCGGCGGTCATGAAAGCTGTAAAACAAAAGATCTCACCAAAAACAGTTATCAGAGTAGAACTAGCTAGAAAATTCCTTCACTCTTAATATTTTAATGAAGTGGTCTTCTGGAATTTATAGTGGAGAGAGACGATCCGTGTGAAGCATTCGGATTGGCTATTTAGAATGACGGGGGTGTCACTCTTTGCAAGGAAGTATCCAGAACGTACATGTGGAGAGCAATATGACCGCTACTTTAATGGCGTAGATGGAATGTGGGTTTTGGATAAGTTTCCCAGCATACTTTTGGTTTTCTTCTCTTCTGCTAATTGTGTGTTTTCTTGTCCGATTTGAAGATTCAATATCTTAAGTTAGGATTAAGCTTTTGTCATAAAATTGATATGGGATTGAAGCTAAGAAAATGCTGAATCTAATGAGGGTAATTTGGAGTAAAATGATTAGCATTTGGGCAAACATTGAAGGGATTAAAGGAAAAATGGTTTTGTTTGGGCTTCAAATGAGGAGTTGTTTAGGTTTAGGGTTTCTTTTCTTCTGCTGGGTTAGGGCTAAATTATCTTTTTTTCTGATCAATTATGCTGTTTCTTCAAGGTAGCTAAAACACGAATTCGATGAAATTATTATGCAATATTCCCTAAATAAACAGTAATAATCCAGTTAGGATCTTCAATTGACGATTCCAAAACATGATCATCGGTTTAATTTAGGTTGAATTCCAACCAATTTGCCCAAAACTTTTAACATAATCCGAGGTTGACAAAAGATAACAAACAAGAGTTAGATAAATGAAAGCAGTGAAAAAGAAATGGAATCAAAATCCTAGGAAAGAGGGAATATAAAGAATTGGAATTTGTTCTCCCAAGCATATTATTTTTTGGGTTATATTCGCTATCCAATAATTACAATACTGAGATTAACACCACTATACACTGAAAGCAAAGATATAAACAATACCTCTAATTGCTTTGCGCTTCTTTTCCTCTCCCTCTTCTTTACTCTTTTTATCACTTGAGAAACAATATAGACATTGGAAGCAAAGGGGTTGTTTTACACTTTGTAGCCACATTGAAGCATTGCAAGAGATGTGAAATTCAGGTTGTCCTAATTTAGCATTACATGATCAAATGCTAACACTACTAAATAAGAGTAATTCACAGAAAACAAAATGAAATATATAGAAATTGAGGACACATAATAACATGTAAGGAAACAATTTTCCCTTAAAACTCTAAGGATGAAATCCAGAGATATCAAGGGGATGAAAAAGGGAAAAGGGTTTATGAAAAATGACAAGCTCTTAGATCCTTTTTGAACTGACTTTTGTCAATTCTGTGATGAATCTCAAACTCTACGCCCTAGCAACTACCCGAAAATAGATTTGCAAATTATATAATGAACCAAACACTGCAGAAAAACAAACCATAATTATAATGCAAACATACAAAGCAAATTTAAAGCCAGTGCAACTACTCTTGACATCTAAACTACTATGGGAGACATTAAAGACAGAATTTAACTCAGGATTTAACAAATTACACAGAATCTAAATGCTATGAAATGATCCACCAATTTGGCAGGCAAAAGAAGTGTGTAATGTAATTATCATCCCACATAATCCCAAATATGTAACTACCAACCATCAAGGCCGCAACTCATAATCATCTATGCACATTTTAAAAACATGGTAATCTATCATTACACCCTTGTTCAAACAAGCCAAATATATGTGCACTGATTATTATTTGTCTCATCTTTGTTGCACCAAGATTTCTCATAAATCATATTTTAGTTATCCAGTTAGAACACCTGAACGTCGTACAAAGTCCAAACTTGACTGCCTTAAGAATAACAAATCATTTAACATGACAGACAAGAGAACAGAAGTTGTAACCAATGTAAACCAATAAAATGATTAGAAAATTAAAAAAAAAAAAAAAAAAAATCAATATCAACCTAGTATTTACATCATAGACCAAGCCCAATGCGAAAAATGAAATGAGATGACACTTTCTAATACCAACCGATTTAATCATTAGGTAACAACACAAAGAGAAAGATAGCTCTCTAGGTTCTTTTCTAATCAAACAAAACTTATGCCCACCGTCCAAAGACCACATTTAATACATAAAACTTGCAGAGATATAGTAGTAGCTTAAGATGTATAAGTTCCCCTCTCCAGCTCGCTTCAAGATGTTTCTTCACTGGGAAAGAAACAGGATTTATTTCATCGTCCATTTTTTCATAAAATGAAAAAAAGCAAATAGAGTGCATCACTTCCCATGGCAAAACAATTTTAACTAAAAGCTAAAACCTTGACCTCAATAATCAATACTACATTGAATGAATTAGAATAGCAGCATTGATCCTCCATTAACAACCAGACTTCACTTTCCAAATGCAACCTTCAATTCATATTAACATGGGATTCGAAGACCTTTACAACCACCAACCACGCTTGTAAATTCAACCATCTAATTCAGGAGGAAATATATCATTATCAGGCTATGTTTACATGTCGTCACATGAATTGTGATTGATGTAAAATTAATAAATAAAAAATTTAATGGGAATTAGAATAAGAAAGTACATGATCCTAGTAAAAGCTATCACCAAACTCTACATGTCCTCCTTACTAAGAAATCACAATCAATATTTGATTTCAATCCAAACCAAAAGATTCAAGTTGCCCATGGAAAAGAATATCATCAAGATCTCTCCCAGAATATGAATAAAAATTTATTACTCAAGCACCAAATGACATAATTGACCTTGTGCTCCACCAAAATACGGATCAAAATATAAAGTATTGGTAAGTCTTAATTTTTATTTGGGGCAGGACATTTCAAATAAAAATCACCATTCCTGAAAAGCTTTCAGGCAGATGAATTTGTGAACAGTGGCATAACGTTGCATAAATAGCCATGAACTTGTTTTAATTAACCATAATAAGGATGAAATCATCTTTAAACACTACAACATCTACTCAAGTAACCATAAAATTTGATTAAACACATCCCCTTCTATCCATAATAAACTTTGGATCACCAGGCAGGGTTCAGATTTCATTATTCCTACAAAGGTCTACACTTTTTCATTTCTCTGCAAAAACTTTAAAAAGATCTCTGTAAGGCCTCCATCAGCATTCAAAGTTTAAACTAACTTCAGCACTGGTAACAATATAAGAAGAACCTTAGCTTGAACTTTCCACTTCCAGAAAGAGTCACCCAGTCTATTTCCTTTCAAAAGCTTCAACATTAACCATCACTATGTGTGCTTGATCCATTATGTAGATCATGAAAATAGAAGGAAATTGATACTGCCCTTTACCACAACCAACCATAGCAAAAATCCACAAGCACTTCACACCTAGAGCAGAAAGAGCAGACATCTACTGAATCTCCACAATATAGGAGTAATATAAGCTTCTTAATTCAGATCCTTCAGAGACGTAACCTAACTATACAAATTAAACTCCAAATGTTCTACTAATAATTGATAAAAAGAGAACAGGAAAGAGAAGTACAGAGGAAGGAAGACAGAGGAAAAGCAGAATGAAGATACTTTCAAAAAAAAAAAAAAAGAGTATAAAAAACAAGACTGCAACCATATTTTTAAGCAGCAAGCCCAGCATCCAGCATTTCCAAGCCCACCTAGACAAAATTGTGCAAGAACCTTTGAACATTATAATATTATAGCATTCACCATCAAATCTGAAAAACTCAAAATTTCAAGGAGTCTAGCATTACCCAAGGTTCTTGAGTCTAGTAGTAATAACCACCTCCATATGAGCGATCATCCCCATAATAAGGTGGATATGCACCATACTGTAAACAAGATCAGATAAAGGAAAACCATAAAAAAGTTATTTATAAAATAAACACAGACACACGCGCGCGCACGTGCACAAACACACATACTAAAGACTATGAGCTTACATCAGAAACATAATAATCATCCGAGTAGAGACCACTGCCAGCTCCATAATCATCTAAAGAATAACAAAGTAAAACAAGCAATATTATAATTCAGCATTCGTTAAGCCCGCCTAAAGAAATCAATGCTGGACATAAGGAGTACATACCACGATAACGACTTCCATGAAGTGAAACTGCAGGATCATTATAGTCCAGCCGCGGGCGTACTCTACTGGACACCATATAATCAGGATCATGGTCCTAGAAGCAGGAAACAATTTTCACATAATAAGGAACACCGGGAGAGTGAGTGCAGGAAATGGGAACAAAATTTAAGGAGATTAAAAATTCATTAACATGCTAGAAAGTTACAGAAGAAAAAGAGGAAAAGAAGAAGAAGAAACTCACTACTGCATAAAATGGCCTCTTCACACCATGTGCACGGTCATCATAATAATAAGGGTCATCAACTTGTCTTTCAACATAACGTCTATCAAAATCTTCATCTGGAGAAAATGGTTGCCTCCTATAGGAAAAATGATCCCCATGCCCTCTGTCAGGGACATCAAGCCAACGCCTACTGGGATTAGGCCTTGATGGGCCAGCTGCAGCCATTGATCTACCAGATGTATGATGACCACCTCTGAAAGAACCCCTCCTTCCTCCTGCTTTTGTGCAAGTGATGTAAATTAGATAAATTAAAAACAAGCCTATGTTGTGTGACACATCCAGATGCTTCTGTGCATGCAAGTGCGGTATGAACACACACAAGGGGGGAGAGAGAGAGAGAGAGAGAACCTCGTCCCATAAATTGCCTCCCATGAAACTCTGTGTATCGGTTATCAAGGCCGTAGTCATTGGGACCTATTCTACCAATTTGTCCGCGTCCTCGTTGATAGAAACCCCTGCCCCGTTGGAAATTCGCAGAGTTGAAGTGGTGTCCACCCCGACCAAAACCCCTTTCTACAATCCATAAAGATGCCACATCAAAGGGGAAATAATCATATGAATCTCTAGAGCTTAGTTCTGCAAAGACAATAGATTACCATATCTGGAAAAGGTTCCACTGCCACCATGACCAATTCGATATCCACCACACATTCCACCCTTCACTGCCTGAGTTTTTGGCATGGGATTTGATAGCCTTGCTTTCAGTTTTACCTAGGAGCACATGGAAACACAATGCAATCAGTTATATTCCATCTTCAATAAATCAAAAGACAATAAATATATATAAAACCTAGACACTTCCAGAACTAAACTAAGAGATTCACCTTTGAGTTGCCATCAACCACTTCTTTATTGTTTACACCTTTGATGCAAGCAACAGCAGCTTCATGGGTTGAGAAATCAACAAAACCATAATCTTTCCTCTTAGCAGTTGACATATTCCGGGCCAGGACAATGCGTACAATCTCCCCGAAACCTTGTATCTGCTCCTCAACTTGGTCTTCATTCCAGTGAGGAGGAACCCCATCAAGAAATACGGTCTTCACCTGAGCCATTATTACAGGATCAGGTTCCCGCAAAGGTTCAGCAAAAGCTACTTTGACAGTTCTCTCAGGGTGGCCAAACACAACATCAGGCTTCTGAAGCCTCTTATATGCAGCCATGGCATCAACATGACAAGAGAACTCAACAAATGCAAAACCACGACTCAATCCCTCATGCTGAGCATCTGGGACAAGAGTAATGCTCTCAACACCTTCAACACCATAATCTTTCAACTTTTGTTTAATCTGCCAACCCACATAAACACTGAGGATGAGTTATCAAACTTGACAACTATCAAACAAAACAAACTAGATACTTACAGCCTCCTTTGTCCATGTATTGCAGATATTTCCCACGAACAACGTATCGTTGTCCTCACTTGGTGCAGTCCCACATCGCTTTCCACAAATCTGTTGAGAAAAAGTTAGCACATAACTTATAAGTAAATAAAACAGAAAAAATAAACAGATCAATACCACAGGGTTTTTCATCTCAGACAAAGCCCGCTGTGCATGCTCCTTGTTTGCAAACTTCACAAATGCATAACCCTTGTTCCTATTTGTTGCAAAATTCTTGTGTAACCGAACTTCAGCTATATCTCCAATCCTCTCAAAAACCTTTCTCACATCCTCCTCCGTTGCATCACGATCCAAACCACCAACAAATATCTCATGCTCCTTCTTAATCCTGCGGTCTCTTGCAATTGCTTTCAATTCCCTGTGTTCATCTTCCAATGTGTCAGTTTCTGCAGTAGGCTCCTCTATATCATCCTCTGCAAACTCTTCCTCCTCATGATCTCCATAGTCTACTTGATCACCATAGTCTTCAAAAATCTCAAAACTGCCATACTCATCCTGTTCAGGTTCAGCATCTTCTCCCAGCAGCTCGGCTTTCATGTTTTCTTTGGTGTCCATAAGCTCGATCTTGGGCTCCTCTTCGTCATCGAAAGTTTCCATCTCATCATCCTCCTCCACATCCTTTAGATATTTCTGAAAGCTCGCTTCTTTATTATCATTGGATTTTGCAAACCCTAGAATAACGGGATCTTTTTGCTTCACAAAATCCCCTTGCTCTTCATTGTTGTAACAGCTGAGTTCTTTATTCTCATTAAATTTTGCAATCTCCCTAACAAGAGGTTCTTTTTTCTTCACAGAATCCCCAACATGTTTAATAGCATCTTCTTCCACTGATGTTTTTACCTCCTTAACTGATTCCCCATCATCTTCAGCAGCAGTTCCCTCCTCTTTTGTGCTTTCTGTGACATTTGCAACAGCAGGTTCTTCTGCTTCCACTATGTTTTCTTTCTGCTTTATAGGTTCTCCAACGTTTTCAACAGTAAATTCCTCATTTAGAGATTCTTCTACTCTTGCCTTCACAGCTTTCTCGGAAGCACGAGTTTTAGTCTTCACTAGCTTCTTCTTTGCTCCTGGCCTCGCGCCCGGAACAGTGGCTTTTTTAACTGGGGTCATTGTGGCAGCTTCAGCAAATGCTTTCACTTCTTCAACTAAAAATCAATTTAAAGTTGTTAAAAACGATTCACAAATAACAAACTTACATGTTACGACAGCTTAAAAAAGATTAAGTTCGACCAAAATTGAGAAAAATATCACAAAAATTGAACCATCAGTCATAAATCTTTCAACAGCAAAGTAAAAATAACCACATAACTAAAATATATGTAGCATCACTTGATTTCTAATCCATAAGTGTCTATTTACATGATGCAGCCTGTCTGCAGTGCAAATCTGATTCAGCGACGTGCTTGATATATTTACCATCACTTTATTCCAACTTTTAGTTTCCATTAGCTCTCTAAACTACTTAGCAAAACAAATAAACATAAATATAAGAAATGATAGTAAAATTATACCTGCTGATTGATCAGACTTGGAATCAGAACCCGTAGCATGTTGTGGAGGTGCCGTGTCGTTGGCCTTTGCTTGCTTTGCTTTGCCTGCAGAACCACGCGTTGTTTCCACAATTTTGGGTGTCACAGATTCCGATGAGGTTGGAGAAACTTTAGCGGCAGCTTTTCTCACCGGCGGCGTCTTTTTGGTGGCGGTTGATTTCGCAGAGTCAGCATTTCGGGTTCTCATGAATTAACCCTAGATAGCAATAAAGTAAACCACAGGAATACTGACAGGATAGTGAAACTGATTTTCTTTTGTTTTCTCAAACCCGAAAAAGAAGTCATAAGGGAAGGACCTAAGGGGATACTAAAACGACATCGTAGGAACTAACCCGTATACCTACGTCATTAGTCATTTAAATATAACCTCCAACATAGGACACAGCGAACAGTTAAGCCCGACCCGTCTAATTACCCAACATCAATTCTGGTGAGTGGTGAAGTACTTAGCTAAAGCACTCTCAGAGATTCGCTTTCCTATTTTCCTTCCATGAATACCTGTAAGTGATGAAATTGGTGATTTCTATTTCATAAATTTGCATCAAATTGAAGTTGAGTTCAAAAAGTGAAAGATCAGTTACAGTTAGCTCTAATGGGTGCCTCGGAATCAACACTCTCTAGCTCACGGCCACCGGTAACTCTTCAAGTGTATTTGTAAGCTATTTACGTATTCCCGTGAATTTCACTTCTTAATTTTAATATTCACGTAATTTTTCTAATCGTGAAGAGATCAGTTGATCAAATCACCACCGTCTCCAAAAGATCAGAAAGCGTCGATCCCATTTTAGAGAAACTCAAAGCCCTCAAAATTGTGAGCCTTCTAATATTTTTTAGTATAATTTCCCTGTGGAGGAGTTTGTATTAATTGGTTTTTTTAATTTTAATATTTTGCGTTTGTAGACAACGCCGATACTGACATCACCGCCAACGGAGGGTAGCTTGACTGACATTTTAGTGAGAAAACCATCTTCTTCTTCAACTTCAGGTGGGTTATAGTGGTTTGAAGATTGCTTTTTTTTTTTTCCTGTGAGTTGAAATCAGGTTTTTTAGATGTGGAGTTTGTTCTAAATGTGTCCGCGTAGAAAAATTTCCATATCAAGTTAGAGTAATGCTCCTCCTTGCTATTAAAGGTACAAAGGTACAAAAATCAAATTCTGAGGAATCAATTAGTGAGATGGATGATTATTATATGGTTTTGCAAGCAAAACTTATTTTATCAATAAAACAGCATGTGAGCAAATCTTTCAATAAAAAAAATGTTGAGTTAGAGAGTAGAAATTAAGATTACATATTGGACTGTCACACATGAATATACTTTTCATTTCAAATTAACTTAAAGGGAAGATACTTCTTTAGAAGGCTCATTATTTACTCATTATATTGATTGAGAATCAATTTTTATGTTTTATGATTTATGGAACATTTTAGTGCTTATTGAATACTTAAGTTATAAATGATTGTTCAAAATGATTAAGTTTTCTGGGGTTGCTTCTCCCTGTGAAACTCCTTCTCATTGCATCCATATTTTTTCTTTGTCTATAACCTCCTTGATTTAGCTGTATATGGTTTTTATTGCAAGTGACAAGGTTAGCTTCACCATAGAAGTCTTGCTTAGGAGGGAAATTCATCTGTCTCAAGAAGATTTTTGGACGGTTAAAGAAACATTAATATTTTTAAAATTGCATTGGAGATTGGAACCATGATACCTTCCCTAATATTCTTTTTTGTCACCCGCAAGCAACATAAATTCTCCATTCTTCTTCTTTTCTGAAAGTTTCGTTAGCTTGTTTCCTTCTGAAACAAAATAAACAAAAAAGTAATGCTACCTTTACACCAACCTTTACACCATGACCATTTTACTAATAATAATTTTATTAAAAATTCAAAATAATTAAAAATTTGTGTGGATTCATGATGTAATGAAAATGGTGTAAAGAGTGGTGTAAAGGTAGCATTACTCTAAACAAAAACTCTGTTTTGAATGTAGGTTGTCTCTTATGCACTATAAAGGATTATCTGTTACTTTCTTCGTCTTGTAAATTTTTTAGTTCACAGAAAATGGTGTAAAGAGTGGTGTAAAGGTAGCATTACTCTAAACAAAAACTCTGTTTTGAATGTAGGTTGTCTCTTATGCACTATAAAGGATTATCTGTTACTTTCTTCGTCTTGTAAATTTTTTAGTTCACAGAAAATGGTGTAAAGAGTGGTGTAAAGGTAGCATTACTCTAAACAAAAACTCTGTTTTGAATGTAGGTTGTCTCTTATGCACTATAAAGGATTATCTGTTACTTTCTTCGTCTTGTAAATTTTTTAGTTCACAGAAAATGGTGTAAAGAGTGGTGTAAAGGTAGCATTACTCTAAACAAAAACTCTGTTTTGAATGTAGGTTGTCTCTTATGCACTATAAAGGATTATCTGTTACTTTCTTCGTCTTGTAAATTTTTTAGTTCACAGATATGAACAATTCAAGGATGCGTTACATCTTGCTGGAATTCTCTTTCTGTTATTATGATTATGTGTATATTTCAATTGTCAAAAGCCTTTAGCTCTAGTAGTATGTTAGAGTTGCACCCAAGTTAAAGGTAGTCCAAACAACATAGAAAAAGTTTCAAGGAGACTGAGTGTGGTTCCTTATGGGGGTGTTAGGGTTGCACTCAAGTTAAATGTAGTCCCAACAACATCAAAAAAGTTTCAAGGAGAGTGAGTGTGGTTCCTTATGAGTGGGTCTGATTAGCGGAGAAAATAAAGATTCATAGTTTTTTCCTTTTGAGTGTAATACTATTCACAACAATGTGATAAGAGGTGATTAAATTTGTATTTCATAAGTTTTATGATGTGAGAAGAGTGCGATTAATCTAGGACTACTTTAGATTAACGTTGCTTATCATAAGTGGATCATTTGAATGTTGGTGATCCTAGACTGAAGGAAACTTTCTTAAATCTACCAAATCATCTCTAATTGAACCTAAACTAGAGGTTAATGTTGAGATTGATTTTATAGTTTGCAAGTTCTTTGTGAATTCATATATCCTTGTCCTTGATCAAAAACACAGGCATATAGGCCTTCAAAGTTGACTGATAGTTCAATGAGAAATCAAATGGGTGTCAAGGCTCTTTCAAGCCTCTTGTATATCAGCTTCTTATTTTTACAGATTCATCACAACAGCTTGAGCAAACTGTTGCAACTTCGATACTGACTTCATCCTTACCTAAGTTAGAGGACTACAATCTTGATGTTTGGATTGGTATCTATCCTAAACTAATGCAAGAACAGATGTGGTGTTATCTTGTCTATTAGGATAACTTAAAGTTACTTTACTATTGGATAGCAGATATCCCCCCACCCCTCTTGCTTGTTCAGTTGTTCTCCCTATTTTTTCTCTCTCTTTCTATATATTTTTTTTATCTTATTCTCTATAATTCTATATCTTCTGATTTCTATTCTATCTATATTTTTCTTCTTCCGCTACGCCATCAATCTGTCTTCCGGTTGTGGTAAAATAAGTATCTTTGCTGTGTCAAGTTATTTTTTACTAAGCTGCTCATCAATTTATAAACTGTTAACTGTCTGGTTTATGGAGCTAATCTTTGCCATTCTTTACTCCATGGTCAATGAAGGTACTGTGAATCCTAAGGTGTTGTTGGAGCTTTTCTCAATGTATCGTGATTGGCAGGAGGAGAAGGCACAACAAATTAGCAAGAGACAGGTTTGTGTAATTGTGTTGCTGACAATAAATTTTAAGAGTTAGATAAAAATTCATTAATACGGTAATGACTTAGATATCCTGAAGGCATAGGATGGATTAGATGGTGTGGATACCTATGAATCTAAAATCTGATCTATATATTTCTAGATCTGGGATTTGGATTAAGATTCTAGTTGGAATTTAATCTTGGATATAGACCTAGCTCTAAGATATTAAATTTACTATTACATTTAATTGTCATTATATTTGATCGTCAAGGACAAAAGTCAATATGCATTGGATTCTCGTAGGCTTGATCCTGGATCAGACCTGTGGTTTGTCATGATGTTTTCCAGATGGATTCAAATGCATAACTTATGTTTTATTGACTGTAAAATGTTAGGTATTTTATCATTGTTTTAAATCTGATGGACTGGTTCTGAACTGGATTGTGGACTTTTGTGCATTTCTCATTTTTTTAAGAATATTTACTCATAAACTGGAAAGTTCTGGTGGTTTGCCCTTGACTTTAAAGTTCTGTTCTGCTTTGAAGTCAGGGCTGTAAAAATGATTAACATCCTACCAGATCTAGAAATTAATCTTTCTATGTACTTGTTAAAAAAAATAGGAATTTTATGTTGCAAAAGTATAACTCTGTAAAAAAAAAATATATATATATTCATTGCAGGAAGAGGTGGAAAACAAGATAGAGGTTGCAGATGCTTTGACAATCAAACTTCTTCAACGATTTAGTCATTCAGTGTCGGCAATGAAGACAACTTCACAGCATTTATCAGTAGGTAAATTGCTCAGTGTCAGAATCCATGGCTTCGTGTGGTTCAAAGTTTTGGGTTTTTGGGAAAAGTTTTTTGAAAAAAGTTAAAAAAAACTTGAATTGGACGGGTATTACGATGTAAGATTTATAAATTATAAAATACCCCCTATGTTTGTTTTTTTACAAAATACCCCCTATAATAAAACATTAAGAGTTAACAAAAACACCCCTCATCCATCCTCAAATACGGACAGCCGGTCACCACCACCGGAGGGTGGCCGGAGTCGCCGTATTGGTGCATGATCAGCTGGATCTTGCCAATCGTGCGCCGATATAACCTTTTCCGGCCAGATCTGGCCGTATTTGCTTGTCAACGACGGCCAACAAACGGTCGTCATTGACCATCAACAACGACCATTTGTTGGCCGTCGTAACAGACTGTTACTTCCAGATCTTTGGCCTTAGATCTGGCTTTTTCCGGCCAGATCCACCGTGGATCTGGCTGGAAAAGGCTAGATCGGCACACTACCAGCCAGATTCAGCTGGTAGTGTGCCATCCTACCAGATTCCGACGGTGGTGGCCGAAATCTGGTAAATGTGGATTACTATGGTGTTTTTGCAATTTTTTAAAAAATATTTAGGGGTATTTAATTAAATTAACAAATTTAAGGGGTTTAAAAAAATTGAATAATATTGAGAGTAGTATTCCCAAAAACTCTGGGCTCCGTTTGGTTCAAAATTTGGGGGTTTTGGGAAAAGTTTTTTGAAAAAAGTTAAAAAAAAGTTGAATTGGGCGGGTATTACGATGTAGGATTTATAAATTAATAAAATACCCCATATGTTTGTTTTTTTTACAAAATACCCCTTATAATAAAACATTAAAAGTTAACAAAAATACCCCTAACCCACCCTCAAACACCCCCAGTCGGCCACCACCACCGGAGGTGGTCGGAGTCGCCTTATGGGCACATGACCGGCTGGATCTTGCCGGTCATGCGTCGATATGGCCTTTTCCGGCCAGATCTACAACAGCCAGATCTGGCCGTATTTGCTCTCAACGACGGCCAACAAAAGGTCGTCGTTGATGGTCAACGACGACCGTTTGTTGGCCGTCGTGACCGACTGTTACGGCCAAAGATCTGGCCGTTGACGGCCAGATCTTTGGCCTTAGATTTGGCCTTTTCCGGCTAGATTCACCGTGGATCTGACCGAAAAAGGCTAGATCGGCTCACTACCGGCTAGATTCAGCCGGTAGTGTGCCATCCTAACAGATTCCGGCCATTTTTCGGCAGTGATGGCCGGAATCTGGTAAACATGGATTACTGGGGTATTTTTGTAATTTTTAAAAAAATATTTAGGGGTATTTAATTAAATTATCAAATTTAAGGGGTTTAAAAAAAGTTGAATAATATTGGGAGTAGTATTCCCAAAAATCTGAGTTTTTGGGTATTTTACTGTTTAACTTTTTTAGGAATACTAAAAGTAGTATTCCCAAAACTGAAACAAACGAAGCCCTGGTTTTTGAGTATTTTACTATTTAACTTTTTTGGGAATACTAAAAATAATATTCCCAATTGGCAACCAAACGAAGCCCATATTCTCTGAAAAATTATTGGGCTATAGAATAGTAACTATTGGTCTATTGCTAAATCCACAACTTATTAACTCAATTCTATTGATGGAATCAGCTGGTTTACATTTAAAACAAGTAAAAAGAAAATTTTATCAGAATCCTTTTGCTCAAGATTGTGTAGTAAAATTGTGGATTAGCATTTGTGCTAGAAGTTACACCATAAATTATAGGACATATCAACTAGGACTACAGTTAGCAAATTCTTTAGTGATCTGTATTAAGCTTTAATAAATTGGAAAACCAATGCAGTTCATTCATTGCAAGTGGAACTTGGGGAGCTTAAAGGAAGGTTGACTGAGGTTATTAGTAATTGTGATGCACTTTGCAAGAGAATCGCGGCCGAGGGACCAGATTCACTTCAGGCATCTATCAAGCCGTTTGTATTCTCTTCTGAATCAGAGGTTAGCTGTACCTCATCTTCCTTGCAAAAGGATTCTGAATGTAATTCTTTACAGAAGCCTAGTTAGACTGTCACATTTTTTTTTTTTCTTTTTTCAGGTTTGTGTATGATTTTTCTTTCTGTTGAGATTGAAATACCTGATAAGAAGTCTACATAATTGTATTGTATACTGACGAACACCTGTATGAGCAAGTTTGATTGAATTAACAAAGCATTCTTTTTGAACTCTTATTTGCAGTTAATCTTCACATTTCACTTGAACATAAACATATCACTTATGATTAAAAAAATCATTGAAGAATTAGGGAAAGAAAAGAATAATAAAGAAAATAAAACCAGATCTACTTTAAAAGATAAAACTGTAACAACCAATAACTGTAAGTCCTTTTCAGGATATTATTCATTAGTGTCCCAGTGTATACAGGGATGGCATTAACCATGCATGGTGAATCCCTAACACAACATGCGGGCTAATTTAAAACACTAGATTAATCTAAACTGAAACCCACCGACACACGATACTGATAAATCTCTTGAAATTGGAGTGAATGAGATCCAGCAATACAAGAGAGTTTTCAGTGTTGAAAACGTTAAGTTAGAAACAAAATAAAAATACATATTAATGCGTAGATTATGGGGTTCCTGAAGTTGAATGAAATCATGAAAGAAGTTACAGAGACTCGAACAACATGAACAGTTTGAACCAAATAAATATTCTCCTCCAAAATCAAACTATATTGATTGAACTCTAGAAACACACTGAAGCAGAAAATTTTAACAAATCAAGGCTGTTGCTGGGCATCCATATATCCAGCATCAACAAGAACCTTCTCTCTTTTAGCCAATTCAATATCTTCATCAACCATCATCTTCACCAACTTCTCAAAACCCACTTTAGGCTTCCACCCCAGCACTTTCCTAGCCTTGCTTGAATCTCCCTTCAAATTATCCACCTCAGCTGGCCTAAAATACCTCTTATCAATCACCACATGATCCTTCCAATTCAAATCCACATTCCCAAATGCCACCTCCAGAAACTCCTCCACAGTATGTGATTCCTCCGTTGCCACCACATAATCATCAGGTTTTTCTTGCTGTAACATCATCCACATTGCCTCCACATAATCACCCGCAAATCCCCAATCTCTTGATGCCTGTAAATTCCCCAAAAACAATTTACTCTGTAAACCAATCTTGATCCTCCCCACTGCACGAGTTATCTTTCTAGTCACAAAATTTTCACCTCTCCTGGGTGATTCGTGGTTAAACAAAATTCCATTACATGCAAACAGCCCATAAGCTTCGCGGTAATTAACAGTGTACCAATGCGCGGCGCATTTGGAAGCAGCGTAAGGAGATCTTGGATGGAAAGGAGTGGTTTCGGATTGTGGAGGTGGTGTGGATCCGAACATTTCGGACGATCCAGCTTGGTAATACCGGATGTGGGACCTCCCAGTGGCGGCAATGTGAGATCTAACGGCTTCAAGGAGACGGAGGGCCCCAGTTGCCACAACATCAGCGGTGTAATCGGGGATCTCGAAGGAGACTGCCACGTGTGACTGGGCGGCCAAGTTGTAAACTTCGTCAGGGAGAATGGTGTCGAGCCAACGCCGAAGAGAGGATGCGTCGGTGAGATCGGCGTAGTGGAGCTTCATCCTGGCCTTGTGAGCATTGTGTGGGTCGATGTAGATGTGGTTGATACGCTGCGTATTGAAGTTGGAGGAGCGTCGGATCAAGCCGTGGACTTCGTAGCCCTTGTCGAGGAGGAATTCGGTTAGATAAGACCCGTCTTGGCCGGTAATACCGGTGATCAATGCAATTTTGCGTTGAGGGTTGGAGTCGCCATTATTGACGGATCCGGATCTGGAAGTATCGTTGTTCTCAGACGCCATTGATGGTATGATGTGTAGAATGAGAAAGGGAGGAAGCAGTAGAGATGTTGTTAATTGAGGGTGAAATTGCAAATCCCAAAAATTGAGCGCTATTCGTTGCTCTAAAGTTGATTGATTTATAGAGACTAAAATTTTATCGGACAGGGTTAGTTTAGTCAATGTGGAGTATGAGCTGTTCGAAATAGCCGACTGATAGTTTTATATTAGTCTATTAGCAAGTCCAGTTCACTGCGGTGGGCTTTGATTCGTGGGGTTTAAAATTTATTTAAATGGAAATAAATCAGATTTTTTTTTAAATTCTATTAAGTGTTTTTTATGGGAAATAAATCTGACTGAGTTTGGTACACTTTTTTTTTAAGTAGGATTTCTAAAATCCTATTTTAAATACATTTTAAGATATGATTTTTAATATATTATTAGAAAATATTTTCTAAAAATATTTAGATTATTTAAACCCCTTATATTTATTAATTTAACTAAATACCTCATGTAATAAAAATTTATAAATTAACAAAAACACTCTCATCCATCCAATCGACTGTCGACAGTCAACCATCACCGTTGGACAATGACAATCAATCTCTAGAATGACATACGACTAACTAGATCTAATTAATTATACGCCGATCTTGCCTTTTTTGATCACGTTAATAGGAATGTAGTAATTAATCAATTATCATGAAATGAAAAAAAAATTGGGATAAACTTAGTAATTGTCTCTCTCGCAACTAGAATACAAGACCCCTGAGTATCGCTAATGTAACTAAAGGGCTTACCATCCAACCATACGAGATAATAATGAAGACTTTTAGATGGGCCGATAGATATTATCAAACAGATAATTATATATATTAATCAAACATTCCTCAAATTCATCATCATTAAACATATAATTATTCATATTCATCATCATCATCAAACATATAACTATACATATTCCTCAAATCCAAATGATGACGATGAAGCATCTCCAAGATCTTGTCCTTAAACAGGAACCTTTGTACATAAGATTGCTTCACAAATCTCTTGTCCTCAGAGGAGACCTTGTCTCCAAAAGCAGAAGAAGGCAAGCCGCAGGATTCCACAATATGCTCAATCATAACTGCCTTGACACAATTCTGCCAACACGAGATAGGAAGGGATTGGCAGCAACTAGGAGTCTCTCCATGAGTAAGCTGCTGCTTATATGAGAACTGAAACAAAAACCCATGTCATGAAAAAAAAAAAAAAAAAAAAATTCATCGAATACTAACAAATTAATGAGGCTCATTGTCAAAATTTCATCGAATACTAACAAACAAGATAAGAATGTCAAAGACCTCCCCTAATTATTACTACATGAGAGCAGCAAATGTCAAAGACCTCCCCTAGTCATTACTACAAGAGAGCAGCAGCCCCAAACAATGACTTGTAACCAGATATGGCCAATAGTGTTTGTTTCCAAGCAAAAGGAAGGTTAAGCTTCATTAACTTCCCTTAAAGTTGGGACCAATTAAAAGAGAACCCCATTCGTCAGAAAATAGTCATGGACCTCCCTAGAAGAAGAAATTTCCGATAAATGTACAAAAATTCATGGGAGTTCATAATATCAATTTTAAGAAGACTAATTCTACTTGTAATCAACCTCAACCACAAAACCATTATCACAAGATCAACTCCACTAAACAGCAATTAGGTACATAAGATCAACTACACTAAACATTTATTAGGTACAAACAATGCATTCTTCAGAGCTGAAATATTTCCTAATACAACATCATAGAATAAACCAAAACTTGAATTCATTAACGTAAAATCTCCCGTACCTCAAAAACATACTTATGCCGGTAAACCAAAGGAAAACTCATTGATATACTCTCTACATGAGGTGAAAGCCAGAGCAAGCCATCAACAAGTTCTGGAATAGAAAAATCCACCAGATTACCATCTATTTCAAGGTTCAAATGTTTGACACCGGCTAAAGGAGGATGAAAGATTTGCCTCAATTCTTGGGGAACAATTGCAATCTTCATAAATGAAATAAAAAAGGAAGTTAGAGCATCGAAAAATATGATAACGAAAAGATCTGTATTTAAAAAAAGAATATTAAATATAGACATACCTCACCCCTGCGACATTGCAAATTCAGCACTTCAGAGCATTGATTAAAGTTTCCAAGAAATTCAATATACTTAACAAAAAACTGAGTATCATAACCAAAACAATCAATGTAGAGATCGGTTTTTGACAAAGCCAAAACATTTGAAGTAAAGGATATCGCATCACCCCTAAATTTGAATATACTTAAATTAGGTGTCTCAAGTTTTACTTCAACCACTTTAGTAAGCAAAACAAATCCATAGATGACCAATTCCTTAAGACTAGGACTTGAAATTTTGATACGCTTTAACTCATAACAATTAGTTATGCTTAAGTACTGGAGGAGTGAAAAGTCTGAAATTACATTACATAACCAATCATCCATTATTGAAAGCTTTGATAATATTAAGTTTTTCAGATTCCTACATGAGGCTATATCAATCTCACATGCTTTAATTTCAGTAATAGTCACTGAATGAACATTCAATGCTTTGATCTCCACCTTTTTGAGTTCATCATTGTTACTTACCTTGATTTCATGGAGTTTACTAAGACTTAACTCTAGGCTTTTAAAGCCTTTACATGAATCAATTGTCAGATACTCAATCAAAGGACACCTAGCAAAGAGATTCTCAATCATTTGATCATCTGCATAAACGTCCACCAAATATAGTTTCCTCAAAGACAGCTGTACACTAATTCTTGGTGAGTACAACTTACATCCAGACAACTCTAACACATCTAAGGATTCTGCACAAAAAACAATTTGAGGCAAATTGTACCCTCTCCCCCTGAAAAGTGGAAATCGAAGTTTAAGCTCTTTGACGTTACTTCCAATTGCATTGCAAACACATTGATCTACCAATACTGTAAATTCTGGAACCAACCAAAAAAAAGAAGTCATCGAAATTGTGAGCTTCCTTATACTTATCCTCTCCATGTGACGGTACAGTAAACCTTGCTCCAAATACTTCAACACCTCTTTTTCCCATCCAAAATGAGAGTTATCATCAAATACTAAAATCGGAAATGTACAACATGTTTCTTTCCATCTTCTAGACAATATACTTGTTTGAACAACTTGTTTCAATGACAAGAATGACAAAATATGGTGCAATATTGAATCCGGTAATAATGATATTCTGTCCATCTTATCAGTCGTCTTTATCACACCACAGCCCCTGTAGAACAAAAAATATTTAAGAAATGATATTAGAAACTAAATTAAATGTTACTAGGAGACTATTTAGCTTTAATAATTCTTAGGTTGAATATATTTAAACACTAAAGAGGTTCAGTTAAGGTCTCCACAAGCAAAAACTAAAAATATTATCCAGGACGCAATCAAGTAATGCCTAGATGATAAAATATCAAGAAAATCGACAGCCAGTAAAAAAGAACAGTTGACAAAGTTGAAAAGGAAATCGATGTCTGGAACTAGGATGCTCTACACTGCACCTTCAATAACATAAGAGCGTTCAATGTATAGTCCCATCATACAGATAAAACCAAGAGAACCAAAAATACTTTTAAACCATCATTCAATACACAAACAATAACCATATCCTTCAATCAAAATGGTATGATGGATAAAATAATCTAAACCACTCTATGCAAAGCATAATACCCCAGCGAACATTAACAGTGTTTGGAACACTTCTGACAACAATGAACGCTTTCAACTATAAATTCAAAAAATCACAACCTCTTCATGATACTCAAACATGAAAATTTAGAAAGACGGATAAACGGTATAAAAAAAGAAAGAACAAATCAGTCACTGAAATTGAAGTACCTTTTTCACCTAAACAAATGGTTTCCCAAATGTGTCCAAGAAACTTCTACAGAGAGATTTCCGATCTACATTTGAGAGATCGCAGATTCTTAGGGTTAGGTTTTCTGGAGGGGATTTTTCTTCTAAGTCACTGTGGAAATCGACCCGCACCTAAGAGGGAAGTTTCGAAGAATACGACGTCGGATGTGTGGTTCCACATGTTAATTTTCTTTCGGATAACCGGTTGGCCCATTTCTGTTATCAAACTTGTAAGAAAAATAATATATATATATATTTACGAACTTATTATTATATTTCTTATTTTTCATTAAAAAAAAAAAAAGATAAAAACACGATTTAACTGTTTCATTTTCACATAATCACCTTATTGTAGCTTTGAACATATGCTCAAAGATGTAAATAAGTGTCCACAAAAATTGCAATGAAAAGAAGAAGAAAAAGATTAACTGGGTGCATGAAACTTCAATATGGTTAGACTATAGCAGCAATTAGAACCCAAAACTTGATAATAAATGAATAATTATGAGAAAGATGCATTTCATCCTTATAATAAATATACAAATGCTGTAGGACTGAAATTGCAGCTTCTCTTGTTAAGGTACTGAAATCCCCAGAACAAGAAGTTAGATGATCCCTGCTGTGATTGGCTTCTCTGACGATGCCGTGTTTCAACACTATTGCCAGGAATAATCCTATTGTTGATCTTCATATTTATCCAAGGAAGCTGATAAATAACTCAAAAGAAGCTGTCTAGATCTCCCTTGAGCATGGAGTCAGTATCAGAAACCTCATAGTTAGTTCTAAAGTCCTTCACCATGCGGTAAGGTGTGTTAACAAACATGAAAGGAACACAAATTAGAGTTTGGTTAGATTGCCAATAGTACCCCAAGAAATTAAGGTTGTTAAGATGACATGCTTGCATGGAGCACATAAGTTTGTGTCTGATTGCCTCAACTTATGTGGAGCACATAAGTTTGTGTCTGATTGCCTCAACTTATGTCGGTAGAGATTGTGTATGTTGTGCATTCATCTGAGCCTGGAGTGTCATCTCAGGCTGGTCTAATTGAGAATGAAGCACAGCCATTGACAAAGCCTTATTTTGATGTTGTGATCTGTGTTAATACAAAACTATGACTTTGCAATTAAGGAAAAAAGACTAAGGTAATTTGTCTCTCCATTATTAGCATTAAAAAAGGGATGAATGTCTTAAACCTCACAGAATGCAGACCTTTCATTAGTAGCAGTAACTCCAGTCTCCAGTAGGAATGTGAACTATTCTCACAGCACTCTCAGTTGTGTTCACATGCTGCCCACCAGCTCCTCCGCACGAAATCGCTCAATTTGGAGATCAGATTCGTTAATTTGTACACGGGTAGATCCATCACCCAAGATTGCAATTACAGCGACAGCAGCAACTGATGTCTGCTGCTGTTTTCCACTGTCAAAGGGTGCAATTCGTACCAACCTGTGCATTCCTACTTCTGATTGGGCATATCAAATGCATTATTCACTGTCTACTTCGATTGCTGCTTGCTGAAAAAATAGAATTATCCAAGGTCAGGAAATTAATGCTTGTCCCTCAAAGCTTCAATCTCAGAAAGTAGACAGCTTCACTATTAGCATCTAGAATAGCGTTTAACAATTCATTAAGAAGCATATAGCACCAGCACTTTCACCATTGAATGATACATTGTTGTGTGCATGTGATCATGCATGTTGAGCTTCTTCCACATGAGTAAGATAATATGTGATGCTAGAATTCACTGAAATAAATTAAGGTGGACTATGGTAAGAAGTGAACCTTGATTCCTGCAATCTCACCAGACATTTCATCAACTAGGGTTACTCCATATCCACGCTGTTGAGCATGTGATTTATACATTTGCATGACCATTGATGCCCAGTCCTTGCTCTCAGTACCCCAGTACCAGCTTGAACCTATATTATATATCATATGAAGCATCGATATCTATTACAGCAGCAAATTTTCATCCATAAAAAATGGAGATGAAAGGAGAGAAAACTGCAGGGCAATGTCATGTTCTCGAGCATCCTCCTAAGCTATAGACTAAGAGCATGCAAAGACATCTTCGTACGTAAAACTGTTTAATGCAACAAAGATAAGTACTAATATATATGAAGATTGCCTCTATGTAACAAGAGCAAGGATCATGCTCTCCAAATAAGAGAGCTTTCTCATTTGAATTCTTTCTAATCCAAAGCAAAGCTTTTAGTGATTCCTGCAGAGAGAAGAAGAAAGATGTTGAGAGACTATTCTTAAAAGAAAAATGCAAGCTATTGCATCATTCCCAAAGCGATTTAGTATAGCCCCTCTCTTCTATATCTTGTTTGGTTATTTAAAATGTAATAGACTAGTTTGCTCCAAGGCCACTTTTCAAAATAGAATTATTAACTACTAGATCTCAGAAGGCCATGCACTACATTGTTTCATATGCCAAAAAAACCAATCACTAGTTCCAAAATGCCTATAAGCCACAAAATAAATCTAGAACAATCAGAAAATAAGTATCACACAGTTGTTAATTTCTATGGGATACAAGAAATTGATCCTCAAACAGAACAAGTACATGCCTCGAAGAGGAAGTAGGAGCCCACTGATTCCAGTTCATTCTCTTATCGGGCAAGCTTGATCATGTCAATATGCTCAAGCAATTATTGTTCAAATGCCTTCACTTCTTTCATTTTACCCATATGTGAACCATGCTCACGACTTATCTTACCAGCATGTACAGGACCGTCCCAAAAGTTAGGCTTATTGAGCTTAGCAGATAAGAGAATCAACCTAACTATCAATCTCTTCCACTGGAATCATGAATAACAATGTTATGCTTCACATTGAACAACAATTGGTCAAATAGAAACCGCACTGACTGTCATTCCAATACAACAAACATAAATTTGCTCAAGGCAAACACATAGCACAACTTCTCACTTCACATGAGCAACTAAACTAATCTGTCCTTGGGAAAAAGAGTAACGTAAATTATGTTGAACCTATTTTCTCTTATACTTTTAAAAAACACATGAATATCAAGAACGAAAACACGCCCACTAACCATGATAAACTAAATTTTAACTTAAATGACATAAATGTAGCCAGGATAAAAATCAAAACCCCAAAATATACCTGGAACCGTTTCTTGATAACTTGGATGGATTGAGCAATAGCAGCAGCATGACTCTTTCGGTCACTCTCACTCTCATCAAGAATTATCCATTGATTAGCCACAATCCCATCAACAGTGAGCCCATCAGAAGTTGAAGGTTCAACTGCAGCCTGTGTACTAAAACACCTAAACCCTCATGAAACTGCCACAACTTTATCAGAGCGGCATGGATTTTTTAAAATATTTTTGCCTCAAAAAGCAATACCCAGATGCCAAAGTTGAATCTTTTAATTTCCTAAACTCAAAAGAGCATGCTTTGGCAAGATTTTGATTAGAGCCAGATAGATTTTTCCTGAATTTAATAAAAAATGAAGAGAACCCAGAAGGCAAACGAGAGTGAGTTTGATTGGAATCAATGAACTCGTGAAGCTGTCAGCTGTGTGGAGCTGAGCGTTGTAGTTTTGGTTCTAGTATCCTGAGAGAGAAGTGATGACCAACTACGTGATCTTTTGAGTATAAAAAATGACTTTTTTTTTTTTTTTTTTTTTCGAGGTGACAAACCGAAAAGAGTGATTTTTTTGAGTCTCTAGACTGGGTTTTGGGAAGGTTTAACAGAGTATCAAGTATTGGAGCGCAAAAGGGTAGACGATGTGCGCTGTCAATGAAACTACTTCGTTTTTCTGAACACGGTATGGATGAATTTTTAAGGAATTTCTCTCTAGTTTTATCAAAATTAAAGAGGTCCCCAAGGTTTTAAAAATTGTCACTTATTGAATTATCGACAAAAGTATCGGAATAAGTATTACAAGAAGCTCTACATAGTGAAATGTAAGGCTCCATTCAATTATTTTATTTGATATTCAATAAATGACATGGATATGTTCATTTATGTGTCTGGCTTTGTGTGAAGAAAGAGGCTCACCTTCTCCATCACTGCCACAGCCTCCCTATTCTGGTGAACACCTCCACCACCACCACAGCCTCCTTTTCCGGTAACCACCTCCACCTCCACCACCACCTCAACCTCCCTTTTCCAATTAAGCCAGCCTTAGCCTCCTCATATTACAATAATAATAAACATAAAATCAATCAAAAAGTTTAAAAATTTAATGGTAAATTTATCACTTTTTGAATTTATCCAATTACCACCTCCACCACCGCCTTAGCGTCCCTTTCCCAATTAGTTTTTGAATTTCAATTTCCTACCATCACGGTACACCCTGGCTGTGTAGCCAAGTCGCGCTATTGTTCGTG